TTAACAAAATAATAACTGTTAAAATGTTAAATGTAAAAATATGATGTAATTGTAATATGTATTTAGTATTTTACAGCTGATCAAATTTTTCTGTTACCTATAATATAGCTGAATATTACAAATTACAATCCTAGAGCGCGTTAGTTACTTTATCAGGGGGCATACTTAATTCTTATGTCGCGATTTTTGACACTAGTTGTCCCGTGACCCGTATTGTCATTTATAGTATTTTATGTAAGATTAGTATTTTATTTTATTTTATTTATAATGCGCACACTACACATGTCTTTATATTTTGTCCTGCCCAGTTCCCAGTCTACAACTTATTGCCTATAATTAGCAATGTCTATGAGCATGATAAATCTATAGAGCATAGGTTAAATAATATAATATTCAAGTCGGATTTATGGTTGATCAACCCACCTTGAATCATATTCTTACATAATATTATCTATAGATTCAACCCAAACCGATAGAAAATATAATTTTTCACTGATATTTAAAGTTAATGATTATTTAAATAAATCACACATAGACATGATATGATCCTATATATTACCATTGATTAAATATACTTATATATATATTGTATATTTAATCAATGATATTACTTATGTCTATGAAATAAAAAAAAACATAGGTAATAGAATATACGATTTACCTATGTGCTGTTTTATATTTGTATAAAAAGATTACGAATTCAAATTTTAAGTATCAACTAACATTTTAGTATAGAACAATAGTCTTTATTAACAAAATCGTACTTATTTATTGTAATAAATTAATAACTTATTAGTTACAGTTAAAGTAACAACTAATACAATAAAATATGATATACTTACAATTCTTAACTTTAAACAGATTGTCATAATTGAAATTAACATATTTTATAATAAGAAGATCACAAAAATAAATTAATTGATAGGTCCTTTGTTAAATATATAAAGTTCAATAAAAACAATGGTCAATTTGTTAATATTAAAATGTATACATTTATTTGGTATATTTTTAATTGTTCAGTTGTAGAAAAAAATATAAATCAGTCATGGTTGATATAAACAAATTACTGCCTAGATTTATTGTTTCTTAAAAATTAACATGTAATACAGGCACAATTCATTTAACAATCAGTGTCTGTTTTGAATTTATTTTGGTTTGGTAAGGTAAAATCTCCTTGAATTTGTTTTAAATAATTTGCCGCCCTCACGGTAATATTTAATGCAGGATTAATAGGGTTTAGGTTTTCTTCTCCAATTAAACTTAATCCACACAAACTTAAGCAGGTGTGCATTGGATCTGGTATAGAATCCATATTTTTACTAAATCCACCAGTCAATAAATTAGCATTATTAAGAACAAAATCTCTATTTCTCTCTTTATTTATTCTATTAAGTGATCCCATAATACTGAGTGTAGCACCTAACCAAAATGAATAACAAGTGTCTGGATCTTTATTAGGTCTTCCTTGAAAACCGCCATTGGTTTGTCGATTCACTGCCCAGCGCTCTAAAATTCTAGATTTGTTCTTATCTAACACATGATTTAATTTATTTATCAGAGATAATGACGCAATCGCACAATAAGTAGAACCACCGTGCGATTCAGTTCCTGGATTTTGTCCAAAAGCTCCATCATAGTTCAGACAATTTGAAATGAATTTAATGGCATTATTTACATTGATACTAGATGAATCGTTCAATATGTTACATATTGCAAGTGAACAGTACACAAATCTCAAATCACTTTCACCATGTTCATAGTTGCTTTTGAAACTTCCATCAGACTTTTGCAGAGATGCTACACCTTGAAGAACGGCTGATTTATTGACACGGCTTAGATTGTCACCTAATGTAATCAGAATACACAATGCCATGTACGTCATAGCAACATTGCTTTCGCAATACTTTTCACTGCCGGGATGATTCTTCAAATGAATGACGGTGGTGGAACCCATGAAACCACATTTGTGCACAGAACAATATTCATTGGGCACCAACTGCAGCCTGTATACCCACTCGACAATGTCCTTCTTGCGGTCATCAGTTAGTGAATCTAAGCCGTCCAATATATCCAAACCGATGAGTGCAAAATATAGAATGGTGAGCCGTGAATAATCAAACACAGCTACCTCACCAGGCAACAGGTCCAACGAGCGGCGAAAATATTTCTTGTGCTGTTCTGGTTTCAACTGCGGTTTGTTCATCTTGAAGGAGCCTCGTTAAACCAGTTGATGTAGACTGGTAAATCAGTTTGCAGCCAACAGATGGTAATTTGAGGACATAATTTTACGGCGGTATTGATTTAACAGAAAAATTGCAAATTCACACTATTTATGGTTTGCGCATGCAAGATATATCCCTGAAAAATAGAGAAATCAACATATAAAAAAACTCATAGACTTATCACCATCGCCGGGTGGTCAGCTCCAGATTTCAGACTTGATTCACTTGATTACACTACAACACACTCCAAATATTCTAGTCTATGTTAGACAGTTGACAGTTTCATACAACTACTAAAGTACTAACTAGAGCAATCACAGCAATCGTAACGGTATGGAATTGATAATTGACTATTTAGTGACTTACTGAAATAGGACATAATGTTCTATGCTTCAGCGCTACAAGTACAACTATTACAACTAACTACAAACTATCACGGAACAATAATACGACCATAATACATAGTGAATATACGTTGCCATTTGTCAGTAATCTCATCACTAATCACTAATCAGTATAGTGCAGCAGCGAGCCTGCTGATGCTGCTGCTAGCTATAAGCATAGATAATATAATGTATTATACTATTATCTTTGATTGATGGTCGTCGGTGGGAGGGGGTGGGTGGACTTTTAGCCTTAGATCATATTATCATTTAATCATTTTAATMTAATTATTATTATTTATTATATAGTATTCTGACATTAGTACATTACCATTACTGACATTATGATCTAAGCTAGCTTGTAGCACGAGTGCAAAACTGTTACATCAGTTACATAGAGCAATTTATTTAGTAATTATTAATTTATGCATTGTTATATCGTTTTGTGCAAATGTCCAACTCGTCGACGTCGCCATTTTACTTTTTTGAATAAAACCATGCATTTTGTGTCATATTCGGATCTATAAAAATTAAATTTTGGACAAAAAGCTCACTAGTTAATGGAGTTAATAGTTAAAAGTATTTAAACTTTAAATCAGCAGAGACGTAAAGTTAATATTCAATAGACAATATTTTTCGGGGTACGAGTGCCCCTTTACCAGTATTGTTTTGAATATCGTATGTTTTTATTAAAATCAATAATCATTAAACAATTTTCGGAGGGTTAAAACCGCAACTCCCCCCTCCCCTGGATACGCCTCTGCCTACCACTTAACTCCACATTCGTCAATACGACAGAATCATAGATAAGTATTATACTTATATGCGCCCGCAGGGGGGGCAAGCTGGGGCATTTGCCCCTCCCTGGATTTTTCAAAATATTTTTTTTTGTATTGTATACGAGTATAATAAAAAAGGTTATTATTTTAAAACACCTAGTAAAATTATAATATTTATCCTCAAATCCTAACATTGCCCCCCCCTAGAAAATTTCTGCGGGCGCCTATGATTATACTAGTAATAGTTTAGTCTACCACGACACTGTTGGACGTCGGACTGTCCACTGGTCAATAGTCGTAGTTCACGACGTTCACGTAATTGTCAATTGACACTCTAATCGAGTAGAGTAGTCGACCGTCTCAAGGACATCACCGAAGCAACGATCCGTAGACGAGTTTACTAAATAAATAACAAACAATATTTGTATATAATAATATATATATTATTATCTATGATACTAATACACACCGCCGCCACTAGTCGTCGCATTGTTCCTTCCACAGCCGCCGCTCGTGATTCGTGGATTCGTCGCGTTTATCAATCAATACCAAGTCTCGAACTCCCAAATACCGGAGTCCAGACGTCCATTGCGTCTCTGCTCAATGCTCATAGCGTCATAGTTCATTCTATATTCACGGTCCGTACATTACATACGATTCGGTAATCGCATTTCACCCGTTCACCGTACCTTCGCCTGACAGTGACGATCTTGTGTCGTTGCTCTTGCCGAGCTTTCTTCGTTGTCGTCGAATATTGAAATAAATGTCATTGTTGCCGTCCACTGATTTGAAGATTACGTAAAATTATTATCTAGTTTCCCGCAATTGCTACTACTACTACTACTACGCAGTAAGTGTACTATTTATTTTGATTTTGACATTATCTACCTTTTGCCCCGATCAACGATCGACCCAAACAAGCGAGGGTATATGTAGCTAATCAGCTCAGTGTTTACTTCACGCATCTCTGCGTCTCTTTTTATCTCCCTATAGAAGAAGGCTCACGACGACCGATTGCATATTGCCTCCCTTCCTCGCCAATCGTTCTACGATGTTCACCCATTCAATGTGTATTCACTATTCAGTATATTGGTGTTAGGTTTAGGCAATAGCTAATTATTGTTTACACGTCGTATATACTATGCACATTTATATACGCTCGTCGTACCTTTTACATTAAACCAGTTAAGTACCTATAATTATATAATTACATTGTATCATTGTGGATTGATGTACCTAACAGCACCAGTTGTTGATTGTTTACAATATGGTGTCTATTCTGTGCTCAACAATACAATGTACAAACATGTTACGGTGACTGTTTTAATTCACCTCGTCAGATCTTTTTTTTTGCACTTAAACATGTATAGACATGGTGAGGTTTACCTTCACAACTCCCTTGTGCTTCTCCCCTATTATTGTAATGTCAAAAATAATTCTTCAGCATTTTTTTGGTATTAAATATTTTTACCAAATTGCACTTAGCTTAGATACCTACTACCTATGTGGGTATCTACTCTGTTTTTATCTTACAAAACTTAAGAATATATTATATAAAACATTTAAGAAATATTTAATTTAAAAAATAATTGATCCAACCCGAACCTAATCATTGGCGCTGAAGTTCTATCAATCTACTAGGGCTACTAGGGCAAAAAATATTTAAAGAGGCCTGATATTTATATCAGCAAAAATGGCGTACTTCAGAGAAGAAAGTGGTCAATATGGTCCTATCATAAATTTCCAAAATATGTTGGGCCCTAGACCTGACCTCAAAATAGAATTTGTTGCCACTGAACTTAATACAGTAAAATGTATTCTCTGAACACTTATGTAGTTATGCCTTATTTACTTATTCACCTACACACTTATCTAATTTGCTCATTTTACACTTATAATTTTGACTACGTACTGTGTAAGGGTTCTAAAAAATAGGAAATACTTTATCGTTGAATATGTGAATACAATTTCTGATGCACCCTTTTGGATAAAGATGCCTAATTATTTTGAAATTATAATTCTTAAAAATATTGTCAGGTTTAGAATTATTTTTATGAAATTTAATATCTCTTTTTTAATTTTAATATGACTGCATAMATAAAAACTACCTATTCTAGTATAAAATTAACTACCTGCCAAATAAGTGTACAAGTCTAAAATGATAATTTTTTATGTAATTTTATATAAGGTATGTACCTAATTTGAAGCAGACAGTGTAATTGATATTTGATTGATTATTGTTTTATTTTAATTAGTGTTATTATGGTTGTATATTTAACTGGCCTATTCTGTACTTAACCTGTATATTTAGGTGACCATTATCAAAAGTCATGTCAAAGTACAGTTCAAGGACATTACTATAATATTTTATTTTATTATGCTTTGTTCTAATGTCTCATAGTAAAATAATATTACTTTATCTTAATCTTAGCAGGACGTAGGTAAATAATAAATGATTATATTTATATTTTTTAATTTAATTATTTCAATAAATTTTTGATTTACAATGATTTTAAAAATTATAAGTTAGGTAATTATTTTTGATACTTTTTTTATTTTGTATTGTTAAAACTTGAAAAACTTTAAACCTAAAGTAATATAATATAGTAAATGTTATAAATTTTCTTTAATCCATTTAAAGTTTATAGAAAATATAAACTGAATTTATGCAATAATTACCTATTTATTATTTAAGTGAATTATCAATTTAATTTATAAATTATGCGTATGTATGAACTAGAATACTAGATATATATTATATATATAATTAACAGGAATAAATTGTATTTTATCTACTTGTACAAATGGTACACATACAATGAGTATTTTAATACAGAAATTTAATTTTTTTTTTGTGGTATTATTACTACTATTATTACTAGCCTTAAAGAAATTGTCCCGCAGTACTATGCCCCACGCACATAGGGCTCCCCTTTTAACTTACAATATTACTCCCTGTCCCTTATACCTAAGCTTCTGGTTAAATCTTACCTTGAAAACTTAACTATTTTAGATTGACTAATCAATAGCTATTTAGAAAATTCTCTAATACTAGCTAGATTTCCCGAGAAAGCGAAATAACTCCATTTCTTTACCCTGTTTAATATACCCATGATCCTCCAAAACCTATTTTTACATTATTAGGTACCTACACCAATGATGACTGGATTCYTAGACAGTAGCCAACTGTAATAAAATCCTCTTAACTTGATTAAACTATGAAAAATAATGGATTATCCGAAATCGAATTGTATAAAAGTTATTGATTCAAAATCGTCATTCATTACTTTCTCTAAGATCATTGACTCTCCCTCTCCCTGCCTTACTTAATAATAACTTGATCCCTTCTACCTTTACATATTCAAATACCAGAGTTAAACCCATAAATTGGGCTCAATATCTTAAAAATTAATTAGAAGAAAATCTCAAGGTCATCTTTAAGACTTCAGTTGCTCCTTCCACTTTTCCAATTCAAGCTATTTGAGCCTTCCAGTAAATTTGCCTTCGTCAAATTGTATCTGCTCCTAGGTAAGTCTATGTAAAAAATAAATAGTAGGGGAGCTCTGCCCCTCTACATACTTCACTAATTCAAGCACAGCTTATACTTAATTGTTTATTATTAGGTAATTTTTTTTAGGAAGAAAAAATTTTAATTTCAATATAATTATTAATTAACAATCAAATATTATCACAAATATAGGTACACCTTGCTTTTTAGGTATATTTTGTATAAAATATTTAAAATGTAAGGTTATTACTTTAGTTTTCACTTGTATTTCCAATTTCCATTGATATTGGTCAGGGGCGTCATTTGGGNGGGGGGGTGGCAGATTGTGTGGTTGCACCCCTTACATTTAGAATGTTACAATTGGCCTGCGCCTTGCTGAAGTCTAAAATAATGCACGAGCCACGAATGCACAATTATTTATATGATTAAAATCAAATTGTAATAACCGGTCTATATGGAAATAATTGAATGCAGGATAATATACATATACGTATGTATATCTATTTCTATATGGCCTGGTGAAATTTCAAAATGGCCTGCTTGAAATTTCGCACACCCGAAAAAAAAACCTGAATTGACATGGCCCCTAACTAGTAGATTAAATGAAATACTAAATTGCAGGGGTGGCCAAACCACAGCTCGCATCATAGACTATAGCGGCTCGTATCGTATCGTAACATTTTTATAAAAAAAATTTTTTCTATGAATTTATGTATTTGAAAAAGTATAATATTTTATTAAATTACAGTGTATAGAAAAAAATTAGTTAAAATAAAGTGTTCTTGATATAATTTTTCTTTATTGATTCTTATTTTTTGCGTGTTTATTTTGCTTGTAAGTTTTTTAAAATCAGGACTAAATGTTGTTAACSCAGTCCTTAACAATTACATTAAATGATCATTCGTTAATGTTGATCGATGTATAGATTTAATTATTTTCATGGTTGAGTATAAAGACTTGCATGAATATGTTGTTTCAAAAATCGGTATTAACTTTTGAGCGCAATGAGTAATTTTTGGATATTTAATAACAGGCACATGTTTTCAAAATTCCAACAAAGAATGACAACTGTATTTGAAMTACTTCAGTCCTTCATCTTCCAATAATTCCAAGAGTTCAATTTCTAAAGCTACCGTATCCATTGAAATCAATTTATAATTGGACATCCATTTTCAATAACATTAATTACAAAGGGATTTTCTAAAAATGCATCGAAGGTTTAAGTAATTTCAAGTCATTAAATCAATCTTCAAAGTGAGTTGATAAACACTCTAATTTTTATACATAATCTTCACAATTCAATTGTGTTGCTATTCCAACCAAACAATACTTAATTTTTTTTAAGTACGCAAAATGGTTTAAATTATTTATACTTAAGTCTCTTTGAAATTTTGTTAAACTGTTATTTACCGATAACCATCAAACTAAACAATACCACGGAATATCATCCTCTAAACTTTCAACAAAGTTTTTAAATTGGCGATGTATCTTTGAACCTAAACGTATGTAATTTACAATTTTAAGAACAACACTCATCACATGTTCATATTTAAAATAACTAACTGTGGTTTATTCTGAATGTCAGTAGATTCATCTAACGCTAAACTTAATGCAGAACAATAAGCAATTTCATTTTGTAAATTAAAGAAAATATCTGAACTTATCATTGAAATACGTCTTTCCATAGTTGCTACTCAAAATATATTCAACCATAATTAGTAATTTTTTATCTTCTGGTTTTAAAATAGAAATAACATCAAATGTTTTTTATTAAATATATCCCATCAGTGTAATGGGCACTTTGCCCAAGTAATATTAAACGTCATACAAAAACTCACTTCAGTAGTTAAGGTTTCTGTTAAGTTAAGTTTCTGTTTCTTTGGAAAATACCACCATAACATTGGTTTGTTTATTTAATTTTAATTTCATTGTGCTTAATTTATTTTTTCTCAAATCAGAACCAGTAGGAAATTTGTTACTAAACGAACTGTAATTTGTTTCATGATGGCGTTTTAAGTTACTGACCTTAAATTGTGATAGTTGGGATTGACAGATGAGACAAAATGGTTTACTGTTTCGTTCTATGAAAAAAACTTCTTCCCATTGTAATTTGAATTCTCTGTGTTCTTCTTCATACTTGCGTTTCTTATACATGATAATTATTTTATTAATGTTGTGTTGTGTTGTTACACGCACAACGTCAAAAAGCACTATGAAAACATATCCATTATCCATGAGTGTCAATGTCTATGATATTTTGATATTTATGGTATTTATGAAGATTTAATAATTTAATAATTTAATTTGGCATTTTTGTAAAATTAATGTTATCGTATTCTTTACATTTTATTAAATAAGATACCTTATCTTATTTACAATATTATATGTATATAAAAATTGTATAATAATATGACCCTTTTTTTTACATTTTGACTTTTCCATATTTATTAATATATTTGGTTGCTCGCAAGTCTCTTTTTGCTGGCCACCCCTGCTATAATATTGTCTCTACATATGGATGTCTTAGTTGATATTAAGATGCAATTTAAATTAAATTTTGAATTCAGTATATTATTTTATTGTCATTCTTAAAAGATCATCCCATAGTGTAGGTAATTGTAAGTTCAATAAAAATATGTAGGGAACTATATTTTTATTTTTTTTTAAATATTTATTATGTACCTATATCTATTTTAAATATTCTATTAGTTTATAAATTAAGCAGTAATTGGTGTTTTTTTTACAACTAATTACTCAAATTATTGAATTTAATATCTTCACTTTACTCATATTGTTATGTAATCCTAACTTCTATAATAATAATAGTAGGTATCATATTAAAAATTTAAAATATGTTAATAAGTATCTCAATTACCAATTTGTAATTATTTATGTAAATTATCCAATTGTTTAAATGCTTTCAGATGCAAACTCAACAACCTCCTACTAACTCAACATTTAAATTTATTGAGCGTCGTAAAAATGAATGGCGTTGTCTACTCTGTTGTCACGTCAGAACGGGAACCATTTTTCTTGGATTATGGCATTTAGTAATAAAAAAAAAAAAAATTATATTATATTAAAAATTAATATTTATTTGTTTTATAGATGTTGCAATTGCTTGCATTAAGTACGATTGGAGTATTTTTGCGACACCCAGAATTATTAAAACCTGTTCAGATAACAAGAACTTCAATAGAACATAATGAATTACCAACTGCCTTAGCTGAACGTAACATTCCAACTTTTAATGTAAATTATGTTTCGACTGACGGCTCTTCTGCATTATCAAACTATGATCAAGATGATATGATTGAACCGACAATTGGAAGTACAAAGGGTGGAAAATATTATACATTTGGAATGTTTATGGGTCGTCCATTGCAAATGGGTAAGAACTGCATTTATATAACTTTAAATTAATGAATTTGAATGAAGAAGAGCATAGACGTTATAGTAAATAACCAATCTACTTAATTGGCTGTAGTATATTTAATAATCAAACGTTACATTAAGGTATCATTATATTTTTAACACATTAACTGCCATGCTGCCGCCGGCGGCCACAAGAATATTTATCATTAGTACGCTAGGACATTTTTCAGTGTCATTATAAATATGTATAATCATTATATATTATTGAATTTGAAAAAAAATTTAAAATGCAAAAAAAATTGTTAAAATTTTGAATAAACAAAAAATGATTTTATGTACCTACTCATACTTAAAGGATAAAATATTTTTACCTATATATATTTTAGGTATACTTAGGAGGATTTTAGTTTTAATAAAATGTAGTGATAAAGAAGTTTTCTTTACAAATTACAACATATCAAAAAACTATTATCTAATATTTTACATAACTATACTGATTAATATCTTACCATTTCTTTTTCTGCATGTGTTCAATATTGATACAGATGTATTTGTCAAACATATTTTTTTTTACTGTTTTGAGTAAATCTACAATCACAAATATTTTTAAAATAAATAATTAGTTTGTATAATTTATTGATTGTTAATCTATTGGCGTTTCTTCCTACTTTAAATAAGATTTTGTATGAATTATCGAACAAATTTTTACAGTTATTTGTATAAATTGTATTTCAAATTTACAATAAATGATAAAAAGGCTAAAAATTAAAATTAATAGTATTTCATTTCCATTTTTTCAGATGATTTAAACTATGGAGTTTTTGTAATATTTTTCACAATAATTATTACTATTTCCATGATTTATGGTGCCATCAAAGGAAAACCTAAAATGTTAATTCCATTTTTTTGTATGCAATTGTTTGATTTATTTGTGACTATGTAAGTAAAACAAAATAATTTTCTTTTATAATTTAATGATATTTTTATAATTAATATGTATTGTTATTGAAATTTCTGCCTAAATACATAGTGTGTATATTATATGTCTGCATACATTTTATTAGCATAAAATGTTTATTTATTTTTTAGATTGTCGGCTTTTGGATATCTATGTTATTTACCAGACTTCCATCGTCTCATGATCCGCACCGAATCAGAATATATGTCTAATGGAATTACTTCATTAAATCCTCGATTTATATCATTTATAGTCATTTTTTCTTTGTGTGTTTCAATAATATCTAAGGTTTGTATGCATATATTTAATATATATATTATTCAACTAAAAATTAATTTCATCTCATATATTATGAGTTACAACACTTAAGAATAAAAGTTTAAGTCTATTGGTGAAATAATAAGATAATCAACATTTTAATAACATGAATAATGAATACTTAATAGTTTTATATTTGCTAAGTTTAACACATTTGTTTAATCACAAAAATGTATAATGTATGCATAAAATTATATAAAAATGGGTGGGATTAAAATAAAATAGAAAATACTAAAGAATGTGCAAGTAGGCAAACGTAAATTTTAAAACATCTAATGCAAATAATGTTATAATACACTTGAAAGCTGTAGGTGCAGCAATTATATTAACAGATTGTATTATTAAGTTGCATTTAAATAATATAAAAATTAATTTTTTAACTATAATTTGAATATCATTGAAAATAATAACACTATTTTTAAATGAGTAAAGTTTTTCTTGTATTTTAATAATTGTTTTTTTTTCTATTTTAGGGATATTTTGTTGGTGTAGTTTGGAGTTGTTACAAGTATCTGACTTTAAAAAGAAGTTCAGCTCAACCTACTATACATTATATAGAATCAAACTTTGTCGTTCAGAATCTTTTACGCCCGGACTATGATTTTAACATGAAAAAGTTCCCTCCTCCACCACCTTCTTACGCTGTTGCTGTTGGAGAAGATAATGCTACCCATCCTGATGTACCCCCACCTTCATACAATACTACTCATTAGAGCATAATTCAAGAAGATAATATTATTTCTAGTTTTGAAACATGTTTTTAATGTATCTTACATTTGAGTTTAAAAAAATACATATATAATATAATACTTATCAGTATAAATTTATTATTAACTAGTTCCCTTGGAAAGACTGGAAGAAATTTGTCATGGAAACCAATATGTAAGAACGCTAATCAAATATTTAAGTCATTTATTCTTATGTACAAGTACAATCTACTGTTACTTTTATTCCTGTTGTATAAGTTTATTTGAAATTTTATGTAATTTTTTTATATTATGGTGCAAGTGTTAGTTAATCTTCTTAAGTGTATTTGTCTTATTATTTTTTTAATAATCACAATTTTAATATAATTGATTTAATAATGTATCCTATTCAGAAATAGCACAATACAACTGATATTTGTTAAATTATTGTATTATTAATTCTTTTTATTTGATTTAATGGTCCTTGTTACTTGGATTTATAAAAAGACCTTTTACAACTGAAAAACCTTATTTTCAAAGAAGGTATATAAATGTTTAATGATTATGATTTCATAAAATAAAAAAAACCCGCATTCAATTTCAGTTTTAATTTGGAAATAACTGTCAAATAGTATCCTATGGTATGTTTTTTATTTAATATTTTTCAATAAAATTTAGTAAGTATGATAAGATGTATAATTTTGAATCCAAAAAAAAAAAAAATATATATCTATTTGTCAATTATTTAAAAAAAATTTATTGATTACATTTCCATGTAGTAATAAACATTATATTCTCAATATAAACTAAATAAATATATTATGTTATTACTTATTATCTTTTATGAAATTAAAAGTGTCTTGATAAAATAATTATTAAAGCTATTATTTAAAATAAAATAATATATGCAATTAATAAAATTAACAATTAGGTACCTACATAATATTTTCATGGATACATTCAATGAAAATGAAAGGTGGATCCATGAATAAACTTGATTTAAAGTAAATATAAGGGAATAGAAGTTAATGTATTTAACTCTTAGCTGGGATATTAAATCAAGTAAAGACTTAAAAAATAATTAATTCATTAGTAATTTACTGATGTTTATCGTTTCTTCAGTTATTTTCGAAATCATATAAACAACAACTCAACACTCCAACCATCACCAATTATAATCCATGATATTTTTGTTATTTAAGTAATTTATTTTACAATTACATATTAGTAATGCTCATAGACACAATTAAGGGGGGATTAGCACCCTCAAATAATGTTCGTGATAATACAATAAAAACTTCTCCTTACAAAAAACTAAAATGAAAAAGGCTTTGTTTAAACACCATTAGATTTTTTTTTATTGAAATTGCACCTATGGCTATACTAATAATACAATTTATTAAATTAATTTTTGTTTCAAATTTTGATTTGAATAAGTCATTGTATGATTTTTGTGACTTTGACGAATTTCGTAAAAATTCTAAAAAAGTGTTGATAAAAAGAAGTATTAGTGTAACTTTTAGCTTAATTTTATTATTCACTAACAACTTATAAGGAACCTTAACTATGTTAGACTTTCAAGTTTGTTTGAAACTGTTTTAAAGAAAAAAAATAGAAATGTTCTTATGCCTATAAATAGCTTAAAAAGAGTAAATATGTTTGAGAGTGTACGATGTATAAAAAACCTAATTCTAATATTTGCTGAAAATTTCACGTATTCAGTGACGGCCTGGCCACTACTTATAAGCATTTTTTATCATTTTTATTTAATAACATGTTTGGGGGCCCTTTGTGCCAGGCCGACACTGCACGTATTTACGGTATTTTATCACCAAAATCCTAAAAAGAATTTTTCAAGAACTATAATATTACTAAAAACGACTTTTCCTTAATTTCTTTTTTAAACCCCAACGTGAGTACCGATCAGATTACCTTTCCTATCAGAAAAAATGCTGAAGCAAAAAATCGAAGCATTTTTACCACCCCAAAAGTGATGTCATCATGACAACATTTTAGTGACCGCTAAACGAGGGTATTGTAAGTTCTTATACGAATAATATGTTTTTCAAATATAACACAAAATAAGTAGGTAATAACTATACCTATTGTTACATTATTGTTCGTATTAAATTTTTTTATTTTGTCGAAGTTTGAACGTTATATGTGTTTATTAAAAAAAGTTTTGCTCATGTACCTATTTTTATATTGTAGGGTAGAAACACTAGAAACTTTAAGAAAATCTTATAAGGATCTAAATGTTACGCTTAAATCTCAAAAACAAAATTTTCATCACCGATGAAATGAAAAAATTTCAACGTTATAAATATCTATTATTTTATTTATTTTTTATTGATCTTAAGCCCGGCGACTATAACCATTAGCTGTTGTAGGGGTTATGAACTGTGGTGGGTTGTTTTTATGGTTGTTACGGTAGGTAGCAAACATGTGTATGTGTGACAAGGTTTTTAACTACTATGAACCCGACTGGTCACCCATCCGAGAGCTAGTAGCTGTGTCCGTTACTTACTCCCAGTCGCATTCCGCGATTGGTAGCAGCTAACGCGCCACGCCAAGCCACAATTATATATTATTATCTAGTACAAAAGAACCAAAATTATCGTTTTTTAAAAATGGAATTATAATTATTTTATGAAAAATTCAAGTCACTTCCAAGAAATCATCTTTCAAGTTGAATATTGAATCAATAAACGTACTTCAAAAGATGAAAATACTAAATAGACACAAAAAACATTTTATTGAGCACTTTTTATTCAGTAGCTACTTGAATMAGGTATTTTTAAATAATTAATTTAACTTATATATATATATTTATATATATTACTTAATTGAATTTGTTTTAAAATAAATATTGATGATTGATGTAATACAATATTTCTAATGGAATTTTGTCTTAGTAACCCTAGTTTTAACATTTAAAAAAAAATATATGATATACACAATGCAAGTAGTCACCTATTGTTTTAACAGTTTAAAGCTATAAAAATATCCATTATTTTAATTTATTTTTAATAGTGATATCAATTTATTGTTGCAGTATAATTATATTGCTGTAGGTATTTATATAAATATGTCAAAAATATTTTTATTGTAGTATAATGCAACAGTTTGCAGTAGAATCAATTTTCCATGAACTTTACGTTGTGTGGGATGCACCCATATAGTAATGAGTAAATAAAATATGTGGGTGATGCAACTGAAATTTGCCTCACTGGCAAACATTTGTGACCTCCATTGGATTTTTCCTATACATAAAATTAACTTGATTTACTAATTAACATTTGAAAATAAACCATTTTATATAAGTTATATAGCTAGAATTTTTTTTAAAGAAAAAAATTAAAGTTACTTCATATAAATTAATATATATTACACATATATGGCGGTGTTTTTAAAGAAAAAAATTAATTCCATATAATATATGTATAATATACCTACCTATGTATGTATAGAGAGAGTGATAAATTAGGAACATATACCTAATTGGAGATGTACATAATTTATTTAATGAAATTATAAAGTCAAAAAATATATCTAAATCGTCCATGTGTACCTACCGCTGCACATTAAAAATTTACAAAATGAATTTTTAAACATGAAAATTGTTCTGTAGAGATGTGTTGGCCACTGAAGTTCTAGTAGAGAGCATACGAATAAGGTACCAAATAAAATAAATGTACTATTTTAAACGTGTTACTTTTACACCCACAATTTATTAGCATTGAGTATTCAAAAATGGTTCCTAAACTAATATTGCCAAATAAAATTTACATTTCTGTGTTTTTTTAAATTGAATGCACTCAGATTTACAATGAAATATTTATATTAAAAATAGCTCGTATGATAATAATTCCGCAGAATATACCTTTACTAATCAAAATTAACGTATTGGTGAAACGTCTTTTTAGTGAATCAAATTTTGCTTTTATCGAACTTTTCATTATTGTCAATTTTTTATAAATTATAATAATGTTGTAACATTAAGTATTTTCATAAAAATTGATATGTATTTATAAAATTAAAAATCAGCTTCGAAAATGTGTTTAATAATTCAATACTTGATCAATGGGGCGTAATTCATGAGTTGCTACCAGTTTTATAGCTTCAGCGCTCGCTTATATCAGTTTTAAAGGTAATTTACTTAAAAAGTGATAATAAATGCATTTTATTCAAATAATAATTAATTTCATCAAATTACGGTTGCCAAAACATATAATAAGTACAAACTACAGATAGGTATGTCTGTATCATTAACAATGTATAACGGTAGCTGAAAATTAGTTTTGTTAACACATTTGTTTAGCAACTTCGTAGCTGCTGTGATCATTGAATATTTTGATTAATGGAAAGAACTGATTCGAAATTTATTGAATTGCGTGACCATAAAATGAATGGACTATGTTTATGTGTCGTTTAATACCTGTTCACCAGTTTGACAGCAATGCCATATTTGTTCTACCCACATAATAGTGACGTCATTTCTTTTACTCGTACCTATACGATAATTTGTAATAATATTGAATATATTTAGTAAGCCAAGTACTGTAAAAAAAATTGTCGAGCTTCATACTTTCATTATAATGACCGATCAAAACTGCGTTATAATAATATTAGTTGCTTATTTTTACGCGTCAACGTAGAAACTGTATAGGTAGGTAGTAACTAGGTACTTACCGATAATATTATTGTCTACATATTAGACGCTCACCCACATTCGTATAAGGCGCTCTCGTGAAACCTAATCTCAAAATGATTAATAAGTATTAGCATAATATTATACGTTCATTGTTGTTTGTACTCATTTTATCGTAGATGTAAAATATATATTTTTTTTTTAAATATATGCTTTATATGCCTATATAGGTTAGGTACCTATATATCATAACTTATCATCTAAATCAGCTGAATCGTACATAATTAAATCCGTTAGAGGTATTCAACTTAAATAGTTCGTCATCACTCGTATCTCATAGTATTTAACATACAAAAAATTTAGTAGTTTAAAATACTAATACATTTTAATATGTACCTACACCCTATATATAAATTCAAAAAAGTATGTAATATAATATATATATATATTTTTTTTTTTTTTTTAGGGTTAAGGCTTCGACAACTGAGGTCATTAGCCTGGAGGAACTGTAGGGGAAGGTACTGTAGGTTTTAAACACGTGGGTATTTTGGCAGAATTTTGAATGGGCGCCCGTAGGTTTCTGCCATGCCCGGTTGGGGGGCGGCAGCCTCTCTCTTCAGACACCGCGAAATGCCCAAAGAGCGATGCCGCCCAATATATATTATTATAATACTGCATACTGGTTATATGATATATCTATCATACATCCAAATTTATTAAGAATACAATATACATAGGTAATAAAAAAATGTTTGGGTTCACACATCATCACGGTTTACCCATCACCCTAAAT